TCAAATTCCTGGAAATGCAGGATTGGTAGATACGATAACCAAAATAAGAAGGCTGGGAACAATGAGTATTTCACTTGGCAGATGGCGCTTGATGACAAAACAATGAATTCAAGTTGCCAAGAGATGAGATCACTGTATTGTAATCTACGTCAGCTCATCGAAGGTACATCCAAAATGCGGGCGGAAGGATGTCCAAATATGGACTAGTGCGCTTTAGGTGGAGCTCAGGAAAACAAAGAGAGAGAGATTGGAGTTAAAACTGATTTCGAATATCACTGTAATGCTTTCATTTCGTCTTTTGATGATTTTAAAAGAACCGCCGTGGGCAATGACGGTCGGTCACTCAACTTCTGCGTTCATTAATCCATAGAATCCCTTTTGAGTAAAATAGGCGCAAATATTATTTCAATTCAACAAGAAAGAAACTTCACCGTAAAAGAACGAAGAACGATCATTCACCAGCGCTGTTGAATCAACGTAAATTGTCCATAGTTCAAAGCGCACGTAGCTTCCTAAGCAGCGTATGCCTCGGGATATACGTTGTCCAACAGCCTGTTGGAAATCGAATATTGTCGGGGAAAAAATTATTCCAGAGTATGTAACTGTACAGCATCAATTTTTGTGTAATACCAAATATTATTAATTGATTGAACCTTGCGGTTTCTCCCGGGATGTAAAATACTGCTCAGAACTGCATGTACCTACCTCGTGTTTTTGGGGAAATATATTTCGCCGCATAAAATAGAGGTTGATTGATTTAAACGGTCTATTGTTGACATCCCTGGCTTGCTTGATCGATCAACATTTGTGTTTAAGCTAAATTTGAACGCTCTGTTTTTTTTTTTTTTTTTTTTTGATGGATTCAAGTGACGATCAACGGGAAAGAGTGCAATTGAATGGGCTGGTCAAGATGAGATTAATCTATATTGCAATAATAAATGATTGGCTATACTCAACAGCCCTTCTCCGCCAAATTTGCAGGTCCGTGCATTTCCTAATACCTCTGCATTCCCCACGTCTTTGACAAAATAATTGTTTCAACCTGCTTGCCACAACCACCTCCGGCCCATTCCGAGTCTGGGCTAGGCCGGGAATCGTTTTGTCTCATCAGGAGCTTGGCTTGCCTTTGGATTTTCCTATACTGGATGTTAGGTCTTTTACCATACGTGCAAGGTTTCAATAAGTGATTGCAATTAGCCATGTATTGAATATGTTTAAATGACACTTCGGACAGAAATGGAAGGCATTGATCTTTAAGCCATAGAGCTGAGAATGGCAAGAAGCGATGAGCGTATCTCTTGTGAGCAGTTTGTCGCGTCATCATGTTTCGTCTTCGATTGCGGCTCTAATTCCCACCATGATTTGAGTACTAATAATAGGTTACTTCAGAGAATACTATATCAGTGTAATAGGATAAACTAAAGCCCGAAAATTTACCAAAATAATTATGATTCCATGTTGCTACGAAACCATACAGCAAATTAGTCCTCCTTACGGACGAGCATGTGCATCTGACCGTCGATGCGAATTATCATTGGCTCACTTACTGTTATTGATCACTCGCATCAGCTTAACACTGGCCAACGCATAATAACTGAGAGGGTTCGAATAACCATGTAACGTTAGGAATGACTTACAATAGCCCTGAAGCCTGCTTTCTTTCTTTCTTTTTTTTTTTATAGCACAGTGAATATTCAGCTCTCATGCTTTCAACTATAACGCCACGTGTTATGGAAATTGGCTCGTTATTAGCAATTTATCTACCCAGACTTAGTTAATAAAATCAGAAGCAAAAAGTGATATCCAAAGTAGCGTGAGCTTGGTCTCTCGTCCCATTACTTTCTATCTCTTAGATCCCTTTCTCGATTGCCTCCAGGAAAACTTCCAAATTGGTCCTTACGGCACTACGGCACGGAAAACCATCGCACCTTGGGCTTAGGTTCTTGGTTAGAAAATTGACACGGTCATATTCAGTTTACTGGACTTACTAGACGGTCCTTTACAGAGCATGAGTGGCCGAAGCCCAGATCAGTATATGTTTTTACCTGGGTATATATAACCAATTCCATTCATGATAGGTGCTCGATTACCTACGCGCTCGCTTAGAGCGCGAGTGCCGCCAGCGGCAAGCGGGGATACCAAGGAGTTCCTACACAATGGATAGCCACTCCTTCCATTCTGATAACGAAGTAAGGCCTCGGATAAACCGACGGGCGAAAGAAGGCGGACACAGCGTCTGGCACACGCTGCAAGTCTCAGATTCATGTGGCAGGCCCCAGTCCACTGGCACACTGTTGCCAAAGTGTCGGAAAAAGTCACAGTATGAACGCGGCCTCAACAAATGCGTGCTCCAGAACAAGCTGAGGGGATCCATGATATCTGTTTCGGGAGCAGAACGCCGTGACGACCCCTTGCTTTGCTCTCGCAGAAAGTTAGTGTATAGGCTCTCGATCTGCGATGACAGTAAATCAAAGTCGAGACAATCCGCACTCTGCAGTGTTGATGCTGACTTTGACACTCTCATTACAGCTGTATGCAGATCACAGGAAGAGTTTCCAACATATTGATAGTGCTCGAAGACATTATGAAGCAGGGGTAGAGATTGACTCCCAACTGCCTCGGTGCTGGCCTGGATTATTTGGGTTATATTTGGGAATAGATTAGTTGGGCGTGTTTCCTCTAGTAACAGGTCCACTAGAGGCTGTTTTAGAAACCTGTCTGTCGTTTCATTGGGAGCCAAACCGTCGTCGACACTCCAGCAGGTCCCGGGCAACGGGATGTTTGTCTCCAGGAGTAGATGTAAATCCCGGCGGAGCTTCTGAACGAGAAGGGTGTCTTTTCGTAGGATAAACTTGCACCATTGGCAGACTTGTAAGAACCCATCATCTGCTAGTCCTTTGCCGCGCCGCGTCGTCCACGGCACAGCAGTCTGTTTCTGACACCGGAAGCATTCGATAGGAATTTTTTCAGGGTCATTGACATTGTCCCATGCCAGCTTTGTCATATTTTCGAACTGCAGCCGGCAGGACTCGGGACACGAATATTTAAAGTTATCCGGGTCTATATATTGTGAGGCCAGCTGAAGGGGAAATTCTCCGTTCCATAGTGCCATCTTTTGATGACGAAAACAATCCTCCCCGAAGGCTTTGGTATGTAGTGCCAGTGCATGGAGGACCATCAAAACATCTGTCCTATCCGAGTTAGTCGGGGAGTTTGGACCCGCGTCAAGAATATATACCTAATGGAGGCATCTGATCCCCTGTCCATGTCCATCCGCCATGCGGCCCGTACCACTTTTCTAATAACTGATTCGAACCGGGCCCTGGAGTGCCAGTCACTGATAAACGAGTCCACCAAACAGAAAATCGATGGATAGCCCGCGAGACATAGATTGACCACCGACTTTCCTCCGCCGCGGACTGCCGAGCTATCGGGTCTAGTTCGTTTTTGATTTTATGGACATACTCGGTCTTGAACAGGCCTTTTGTCTTCAAGACCGTCTGCTTCAAGTTCAAGAAACATCGGAGCAGCTGTATATGTTGCTGGCACTCCTGCGCAGGCACGATTGGTGCCACCTTCTGCAGTAATGGCGTGGTCTCGGTGAATGTCTTGGTCCCCGGTTTCTCGCGGTCAAGCATGATGCTGCTGCTGTTTGTGGTCGCGAGACAGAAGAACAAGGTCTGAAGGTGTCGATAAGTTCTCAGACAAGGTTGCAAATATCGGTGTTTCGTTTCCCCGTGGGACTCTAGCCTGGTGTTTATTAGCCTATCACAGTCTACGTGCGTGATTTTTGGTTGGTGGAAGCCATAGGATATGACGACACCTGTCCCTTTGCTTTTCAACTCCTGCATGTCCCAAGTCCTCTTGGTCTGCATTCGAACGGGATTGTGAGAAGGCCTCATTGCCCAATCCTGCGGCCCACGTTCGCTGATCGTCGCTATCGAGGTTCACTCCACATTGACATCATATTTTAACCAATAGCAACAGAGTACAGAACTAACCGAGACACATTCTTCGCCCCCATTAAGCACTATGGAATGCCTCGCGCCGATCGGTTGTGCCGGATAAGGGAGTTCCGATGCTTGACCATATTGTGATATCGATATTGTGCATCCCTATCTTTTATACCGAACGTCTTAGGCTGTGATATTAATTCATATGCTATTAGAGATATTGCTATATTCAACACGGCTCGGAAAATGACACATAGCAAGCCCGTGTGAAGGATAATATATGGCGGCTGGTGCAATGTCCATCATTTCAGTACAGATGTATAAGAAATATGCACACACACTCGCGGCCCCATAAATATCGTTCAGCCTGTTTACTATGCATCCACAGTCTGCGCTAGCAAGTCAGCTCTTCTCATGTGTTCAGCCTTGGAGTTAGTGATCCTCACTATTTTTTTCAGCCCTGCAGATCCCAACACTCAGATCATTATCTGTATGGCCATGTTTTATATGAAAGGTTACATGACAAGGATCATAACAGGCTTGCAGTCAACGCTTATATGGGGCCAGAATCAGATCAACACGGATCAGACAGCCTTGGTGCTTGTGATATCGCCGCGTATATCGGGGTCCTCCTCCCCCCACGCCCACCTTTCATCCACGGAAGTTGGAGAACTCCATGTCGCATCGTCATGGTATACCGGGCCATTATTGGCCTCTGAGCACTCCACGGGGACTTTACCTTCTAGACCCGATGGTTTACTGTGACAACGAACCGGCTGCGCCCCACGATCGTTGCATCAGGCTGCAGGCGATATGGGACTATCTCAGATGGGTCGATTGAAGATTGCGAAATTGCGCCAGCAAGGATTAAATCCTGTTTTCCATCTGAGAATGCAATTATGGAAGACTGCTCTGGGGCAATCAGAGTCGCAGTCCAATCCAGTCTCGTGGCATAAATTTGACATCCCCCTGTGCGAAAGAAAAAACAAAAAAAAATAATCACAGCTGTGTCTCTTGTGAATCGCAACTTCAACCACGCCTGCCAGAATGGTCCAATTCAGTCTTTACGGAAAGCCTCTCTTCCCTGTTCTTGTCCTTGCTCTTTCAACCTGTGCCGCGGCCGTTGTTGATAAGTGGACCCCAGAAGGCTTCAACTGGAGTGCCCTAGACACCGGCACACGGGAAAGCTGGAAGGGTCTCTATCTGAACCATAACAACACTGAGGCACACGTTCGCGAGCTAACGGCGATCACCGACGTCGACGTGAGAACAACGGAGGATGGTGTTACTCTGTTGGTGGCCCCTTGGGCGATCGGTCTGGCATGGCATGCCTTCAACCTCGTTCTCACTGGCGCCGGCCTGGCAAGCACGATCAAGACATGCGCGCAAAACGAAGGCCAGGCTGACAACATATTCTTCTGCGTCACCGGTCTGGTCAGCACCATCATCGGCGTGGGGGGTGAAGTGTCTGCCGCGAAGAAATTCGCCGAGTCCAAGGGATACCTGGGCGTTGCTGCGAACGCCTGGATGCAGTCGGGCTTCGAACGGATTGACCTGACCGAATTCGCGCGGGACCTGGACAGTCTGCCCGCCACACATATGACTTCGCAAAAGGCCCATAACCACTTCGTCCACAATGCGTTGCGCAGCCTGTCAACGGATGAAGTTGATTTTGTCGGGTACGCGCCTGATTCTCACAAGCTAGCCCGGCGTGACTCCAGCGTTCATCCCTATGCGCCGATGTTCCGCTTCAACCACCACAAGTATGGTCCCATGGAGCTCACCTCGCGAGACATGGGGCAGACGGGGGTGCACTTTACCATTTCGTACGCGGGCCACCCTACCCACCACGCGACCCATGCGAAGCGCGAGGAGTTTTACAAACATGAGCGGCTCGACGAACACCTGATGGAGGGGCGGTTTGACACGAGCGCCTCGCTCGCCGATTCTGGTGACATTTCCTTCGATGGGGCCGAGGCTTTTGGTCAGATCGAGAAGCAGGTCGAGTGTTTTGCAGGAACAGAGTGGAATGAGGGTAACGTGCTTTCCGTCCAGATGTTTGATAACGCCAACCATGCTACGTTCGGGTATGCTTCGATTGGTATTTTCCCAGACAACAGTGTCGACTCGGGACTTCAGGACTTTGAGCCCCAAGGAATGCCGTTGACTGGTGGGCAGGATTGTTAAGTTGGGTGAGTTGAAAGTATCAGCTCACTTAATCTGGGAGTACAACAGTAGCAGTTGTAGTAGCGTGATGCGGACTTCTTGGGCCTCTTAACAGCCTATGTTTAAACTGCGGCATATCCGCGGATATCAGATAGCAAATAGTATCCATATTGTATCCATGCGGATAGCAGATACCTGAGCCGCTATCTTTGTCCACATCAAAATCCATGCGGATATAATATGGATAACCTGTTTTTATCGGCACTAGCATAATTCTCGCTAGATTAACCCAATCTAGCCTAACACATGATGCATAATATGCTGATTGGGATCAGCAATATAGTTACGCTTGTTCTGGTCATGACCGGCTTGCCAGCACTACATGGCAGCTTTGCATGATACTATTATCTGAGCATGTATAAAATATATGTTAGTACCAGAGCTCGCTATGTAAAACTTGCTGTTGAGTTTCAGTGTCCGTGTGTGTTCGAAGTGGGAAGAATCTATGAATTAGGTTCGCCTGACGAGTATGACAAACCTGCAACAATACCCCCCGGCCCAAACCCAAGGCACAGTATAATTGTAATGACAATGGAGGTCATCCACCAAGCGGTGATGATTGCGAGATTCGCGATGCCATATGGCTCGGCGGCAAATGATTGGCTAAAGGTTACCCCTTCTACTCGGTCGCATCCACTAACTTACAAGATCGGGTTTACTCCAAGGTGGGGAAGGAATAAAGCAGCTGACCAATCAGAACTGACTAACGAGGATCCTCTGATATTAGGTTGGCGGGGCGCTTCGCTGTAGTCTGAGCATGCTGAGGTTACTGTATGCCAGCTCCAGGATTAGGGGACGTGAATGCATCCTGGATAGCCTGGGCTAAGCGTCCGTGGGTTAATGGCCTGAAAATATTCGTAAAGTATTCACTAGCTTCGGTGGGTCGCTCGTTGGCGTCTCGGTTGATCGTCAGCGTTTCGCCGAGGCAAAAGGCGCAAAACAAAGGTACAATTCACAGGATGCCACAGTTTTTCGTACAACGTGGATCCCCCACAATATACATGGTCTCCCGAACTCCTACGTCCTAGGATGTGCCACGGTTTTTGCAGCAGCGAAAATACCCACGATTTAGATGATCCCCCGAAGTCCTGTTTCCTGAGATAAGCCACGGTCCTCGGACTCAGCTGAGATCCTATACATGAAGTATACTACTGGACCCACATGGTGTATATGGGTTCCCCTGAACGCGAGGAAGCTACCTTTCTTTTGGCTTCCTCGCGCTACGTCTTGTATCTAGAGTCGAATACAGCTTCTTTAATATTGATCATTCATTGGAAAGACAGCTCATCATCAACAGATACGCGAGACCCTCACAGATCCCTCGATGAAGATGGTCCCTTGAACTCCTGTTTCTTAGGAAGTGCCACGGTTCTCGTATGAGCTGTCGTCCGAATACCTCCTCAGTGAGGAAGACGGCCTTGTTTAGCCAATTACGTCGAGCCATCACCCTCCATCATCCATTGCCCACCCGGACTCGCTGGTCTGTCCTGACTTGCTGGGGAGACCGAGCCACTCCAAAGTGGAGAAAGGAGTAACATCGAACCAATCATATCAGAGGGTAATCGAATTGATAGAAGCCGGTCATGATCGTCCCAAATCGATATTCCATGGCGAACTCGTCAAGCTCTGTTTGCTCTTCAGATACATCACTGTACTAGACAACTCAGTCGAGATTACATGAAGGACAAGAGAATTTTGGATCCAGGTTCTCCGGCCTATCCCGATATCTCGGGACTTGACGGAGTAGCCTGAGGTAAAATAATTTCTCAGAGACCCTGGGCATACGAGGGTATAACGGATATGCACGGGCCTACGCTTGAAAATATTTATAGCCAACCCCTTGAGAGTCATACCATCCACCAATTTCGAGCAATTTACCTACAAACGAACATTCAACACTCACAGTTCCACCACCTGCTTTCTTTTTGCTAACGTCGAGCGTAGCCTGAATTACCAAAATGTTTTTTTTTTGTTGTTTTCGCCATTTGACACAGTGTTGCAATTAAGCATTTCGTGCATTGAGTAATTCGGGCAATGAGTAATTCGGGCAATGAGTAATTCAGGCATTGAGTAATTCAGGCATTGAGTGTTTATTCAGGCATTGAGTAATTCGTGCATTGAATAACTTCCAAACAAAACCAGGCATAGCAAAGCAGAAGGTGGAACTCACTCTAGGATGGATCGTAAGAGTGAAAAATCCTTTGCGTGGTCTCTTCAATAACATAGCAGCATCATACTCTTGGGACAAAGGAGACCCCTCCCAGGAGCGAAAAGGCATGGTGTCAGGGATATACATGAAGCATACACGGTAAGTGGAGGACACGGACCCACATAGCTTATCTGGGTTCCCCTGAACGCGAGGAAGCCAACTCTCTTTTGCTTCCTCGCGCTACGTCTTGTATCTAGAGTCGACTATAGCTTTCTTAATATTGATTATTCATCTGGAAGACACGCTCCTCATCAACAGATACGTGAGACCCTCACACTGAGTAAACTTACTCCGATGATTCCTTGGATAACTTGGCGAGTGAGTGGGACAGGACCACACAAGACCCAGTCAAGAGAGTCGCGTTTGAAAGAAGGTGCATTGAAGATGAGCTCACCGATCAGAAACGAGTAATAAGAAAATCCTAGCAGTAGGAGCCACTGTCGCTTCTGGGACTGTGTTCCTAGGAAGTTGAATGGAGAACCTAATATCAGGTCTGCTTTTCGTTTCAACCTTTCCGGTCGTTACTATGGTAAGTCGTCACAGTCCCAAAGAAATCTATCTTAAACCTTACGAGTGGTAGAACCGAACAAGTACTATCATGTGTCATGCATGGAGCAAATATTTCCCGACCTGAGGTCCTTGGTAGAGCAGGAGGTTTTGCAAATGGAAGGAGGGGTCACCCAGCTGACCTCAGCCTGCTGGCAGATATCACAGTTTCACAATGCCATTGAAGATTGGTTCCGCTTTAAGGGCCGTACCTTCGAAATGAACATATACGATCGGTTCCGAAGAGCACATGCCAAGTGGGAGCAGAAAGACAGCACAGTGGAAATCAACCATCAACTCGGGAATCATGAGGGTAGTCGTCAGGATTGTGAGAAGTGTGAAGTGCCGGATGAACCGCTGAGAAAAGATTACTTTCCTGAAGAGCCTCGCAGTAGCCTATTGAGTGAAGTTCCGGCCTCCGTGGTTGGCGTGGGACACTTGGATGGATTAGATATTCGATATCTCGGCTACAAGTGGTCATTGTGGTCATTTCTCAAAATCAATGATTGAACGATCAGATATTCATGTTGTACAGGCGAGGTCAACCAGCTTGATCTCGCTTTGTAAGACAGTTAAATAGAGAAACAAAAAAAGACATCTAATATTTATGGGAGGGGTAGGCCAAGAACTGGTAAAGGTAAGCGGGAGACAGTTCCATGCACACTTTCCGCATGGTTCAGTAGGCCCGATTTTGACATCAGCTTTTCCCCGCAAATGTTGCACTCACAGTGCATGTCATTTGGGAACGGCTTGATATGTATGTCAACGAAGTGTCGGCTGAGAGACCCAGGGTTCTTGTACATTCTCAGGCGTTCGCTTTCTGGCAGTCCAGCGTTACCAAGACAAATAAAGCATATCGTTGGTCTTTCTTCTCGATATTTGACGCAAACAGAGGCGATGGCCTGAGAAAACCTATCGTCACCGTTCTCATCTGAAGGGGTAGACTTTTGTCTCTTAGGCAGAGAAGAAGCAGGCAGTGTATCAATAGCATCGACAGAGCGTTTTCGCGGCGCGCCAGGGCGCGAGGGAGCACCCTCTTCCGCATCACAGACTGCAATCACTGCATTGATTGTGGCAATTCGGCGTTCGTATTCTTTCTCGATTGTCGTACCCGGCATAGTCAGGATACTGTCGATAAGCGTCATATGTTGCAGAGTCATATAACCAGTACGCTGCAACGCACCCATAACGTCTTCGTCAACAACCTTCCCGGAAAGTTGACGCTCGCTGTCGATCACTGGCTGCTCATTTTTGTACCGCTCCAAATTTTCACGGATTAAGCGGTGCTTTTGCCGCCTCTTCTCATTTCTTAACAGCTTCACTGCGTGATTGTACAAATCTTCCGCGCGCTGGTATTTCTTGCGTAACTTCTCCACACCTTTTGAACCCTTCTTTGGTGGGTGATCGCCGAAATCCCGTTGCAATGCGCCCTGAGCATTTTCGTAGGTGCGCTTCTTCGCATCTCGAGTCTGCATTCGCATCTGCTTCCTCTCTTCCAAAGTGCGCACACGGGGAATACCATTAATACAGCTCGTATCCTCTAGCCGGTAGGGTCTCCGAGGATCAATGGACCGACTCATCGAACAGGCAAATCGCATAAGCTGCTTCTCAGCGGGAAGGCCTCGTACGATTGCCTGGGCGTCCACGTGAATACCCACACTGTAGTGCCGAACAAAAGTATCAATGCTTGCGTGCTGCAGCATGACGTTCTGCAGTTCATTCGATACATCCGCTGATTGAGAGGGTTACGTTAGCCCAAATCCTCTTAATGCATAAAGTGTCACTCACGACTATCGTTAAACGCTTTTGCAGCGCCGTATCGGAGGCCGTATGGCTTCGTCACATCCGCAAAGCCAGTAATCTCACCACCTCTTTTCATTCTATAGCCCAGCCATCCCCGGGTAAGTGGAATTTCTGGTGCGAATCGGATCCCATCCGCTTCCCGCAAAGCCTGGCAAAACACATGCTGATCCATGATTTCGTCTTTCAGTTTTAATTCCTGTTCACCGAGACCATGTAGGACCCGAAGACGGTACAATTTCTCCGGGCAGTCCAGCACAGGGCTATCGTTGGACAGACTTTTGAATGCGCCAATTCTAAACAGAATGCCCAGCAGAAAGACATGAGGACTAAGGACCAACGTAGGATCAAAGATAATTTCCGGAATTGGAAACGCCTCTCTGGTTGAAAAATGATAAGCAAAAGGAAGCAGAGACGTATGTAACTGAACGGGATAAGGCAAGCGCAAGGAATGGTTGAGCGAGTAGATGTTACTTACGATTCTTTCGCACCAAGAAATGATTTTGTGAATTCCGGTCTCAGGTAGATAAACAGTCGAGGACGTCCTCCGCTAGGATCCCGAATCAATGTCAATTTGAGATCCTGGAAGCGGAGTTTCAGTAGCGCCCCCGGACGGTTGCCGGTGATAGCGGCCAGCTGGCAGAAAAGGAGGAGTTGTATTCGATACCAGCCACAAGGAAAAGTCATCTCTGTCGTGGACAAGATCACTCGGGCAAACTCAGCTACATCCTCCACAAACATAGTTGCTTTCGGGCGTTTTTTGAGGGAAAGTTTCTTATCAGTCGCAACTATCGCGAGCACCTATGGAACGTCAGTCGCGTACAATGCATGCCGTTATCGATACTCAATCGGGATCTCACATCATGGATCTTAACTTGAATATCTTTGCCGAGGCCATGTCCAACCTCGGCCTTGTAGATCAGATGCCACCACTTCCAGAATGCGTTGAGTGAGCTTTTGGTTTTCAGTCCCGGGGTGCGACGTCCGTCCTTTCCTCTTCGTTGGTCACATCGCCAGGAAAAGAGAGCCTTGAGAAAGCGGACCGTCTCCTCGGTATCGGAGATCCAGGACAGGCATTTCACTGGATCGCGCTTTGCGCCTTTACAGAACCTAGAACAATCAGCCACCCAATTCCTGTACGCGGGGATGCCGCAATGACGTCTCATCCAACCTCTCCTGAGTTTTCGGGCTATAGCGTTTCTGTCGGAGCTGGGAGACATCAAGAGCCTCGGCCTCCTGGAGGTAGTATTCTGGTGAAAGCTGCTCCTCTTCATCTTCCAGTGCCACTTCATCGTCAGACTCGTCATCAGATTCATCGTCAGACTCGGACTCAGATTCGCTGCTATCGTCGAAGACGCTAGGTGCGGTGGAGGAATCAGAGTCGGACGCGTTGTCCGAGAAGGTCTCGGGCAGGCCTGAGCTAGTATCGCTCTCAGCATCGGACGGAACAGGAGGCAGAGAAGCAGGCATGGCAGCGGAATACGGTGTGCGATCGGAGGGACGAAGACGAGTCGAAGCACGAGGGAACGGTCGAGGCCAATATTATATCACCGGGAGCAAGTCACCCGTTGGAAACCCAAGCTTGGGGCCGGAGGAGTTGCTGGAGAGTGAGCGAGGACAGTCGGTCGGGGGTCATGGTGGTCGATATTTATGGGAAACCCGGGGAAGCAGAACGGTCAACAGAGGAGCCAAAAATGGCTCCCCTCCGCCAAGAGGGTGACTGAGGAAGACCGCGGAGGGACGCTGCGATGGCTGCGGCACGAATGGACATCGGTCGATCAATGGGTCCAGGCACCAGGCACGACTAGCACGAAACACGGGTGGCAGTAAACGGGGCCGGCCGTGTGCTTAGTAGCACGTGATGCCAAGACCGCCCACGGTGAGCGAGACGCTTAAAACGGCGTCAAAAGCAGCCGTTTCTGGCCTCCCATTCACCGTGTCATGCTTATTTGTAGTAGAGATCATATACCTCGACGACTTATCGGCTGAAGACGATCTGATTGTCGCTCAAGCACCAAAACCCCAGTGGGGCCAACCGGTTACCGGATCAGAGGTGTTTCTGGGATCACTTGATCCGTGCCTAGGACCGCGTCTAGCGTTCCTAGGCTGTGGTTGGCTCGGGGGAACTCGATCAGCGTTCCCGGGAGCCCCACATCTTTTGTTCTATGGGCCCGAGCTAAAGTCTACACCAGGTCGATGATTGGCTTCCAAGGAGATGACTAAACTTGCTGTTCTCAATTGCAACAACGAAACCAAAATGAATACTATGTGTATCAACGAGGGCTAGGAATGGTAAACCCTTGAGTAAATTTCAAATCATCCGGCGCAGCAACCGGTCCTCTTCTTGGACATTTCTTGCGACCATGATAATCGTGCGGTTAGTCTAAGACCAACAGGGAAACGTGGTACTTCCCGAGATTTAAAACTTCCAGGCCATCACAATTGCATAGAAGGCTTAGGAGTAGAACCTGTAGATTGTCTACGATCCCGCAGGAGGTGGCGAGTAGGGACGCACTGGATAGTAGGGACACACTGGAGAAAGGACACACTGGAGAGTATGGACACACTGGAGAGTAGGGACGCACTAGAGAGCAGGGACGCACTAGAGAGCAGGGACGCACTATAGAGTAGAGGGAAACTGGAGACGACAGTTTGTGTCGGGACATACTGGAGGGCGCGAAACAAAAGGGTTTGTAATAGTACTGTAATTTCCTATGGAAGTGCATAGAATCGACTAGTAGTTCAGCCCCCAATGAGTAAATGTAAAGTACCCGATGAGTTGGGCCGTGATCTGCCTTATCCGCCCCGGTCTGCCTTCCTATTTCCACTCCCACTAACCTAGTGGCTAAGGTTGTGCAACTACAACATCTCAGTCCATGTTTCGTTCACCCATCTCAAGTGAATACAACTTTGAGCGAATCTGCGAATCAGTATGAACTCGCCGACTCATACTATAGATCCAGACGGCGAAGTGATCATAATATTGCGCAATGCGAACAGTCCGTTTGCACAACTGGCTGGAAATCTATTTACTAGTAGGGACTCTGACATCCTTCCGTGGTTCTTTGGTAATACCAAAAGTTCTCATGAGGTGACCGAAGTTTCGAAATTCCGTTTCGAACCGTTAGAGCTGAGTCTCAAGGAACAGAGCAGGAAAAAGAAGAAGAAGGGAAAGAAAAGAAAGTCCGGCACGACTATGACCGCTTTTGAGTTCACTTCGACAAATGAAGAGCCCGCTGCTGAAGAAGCTGCTGCCGAAGAACACCCTGCCGAAGAGCCCGTTGCCGAAGAGCCCGCTGCTGAAGAGCCCGCTGCCGAAGAACACCCTGCCGAAGAGCCCGTTGCCGAAGAGCCCGCTGCTGAAGAGCCCGTTGCTGAAGAGCCCGCTGCCGAAGAACACCCTGCCGAAGAACACCCTGCCGAAGAACACCCTGCCGAAGAACACCCTGCCGAAGAGCCCGTTGCCGAAGAGGCTGCTGTCGAAGGAGATTTCGCTGAATTGCCGGTTCACAATTGCTTACGTATTCAGGTGTCTGCGAAGCATTTGATGTTTGCCTCCCCGGTTTTCAAAAAGATACTGACTGGTGGCTGGAAAGAAAGCATTACTTACTTTAAAAAAGGCTCAGTTGAGGTCACTGCAGAAAGCTGGGATATTGAAGCACTCATGATACTACTTCGGGCTATTCATGGTCAATACTATCGTATACCCCGGAAGCTGACCCTGGAGATGCTCGCCAAAATTGCTGTCATAGCAGATTACTATGAATGCAGGGAGGCTTTGTATTTTCTGACGGATATGTGGATCAAGAATGTGGAGGAGAAGATTCCTACGGCAGTTTCTCGGGATTTAGTTTTATGGCTATGGATTGCCTGGTTTTTTCGACTCCCTTCTCAATTCAAATTATCGACTTCCATTGCCATGTCACAGAGCGACGGCAGGATTGGTAATTTGGGACTTCCGATCCCAGACAATGTCATAGGTAAGGATAGACGGATTCTTCCAAGTTCTTTGAAAACTCATGGTAATACAGGATCAATGAACGAAAGTAGAGAGAAGGCTATCAACAACTTGATTGTTCTTCTTCATGAAACACGCAATGCCTTTTTACACGGCACTCGTGGCTGTGGTTTTGAATGTCGCTCAATCATGTATGGGGCTCTTACTATGGAGATGCAGTCAAGCAACCTGCTTGTACCGAAGCCTGAGAATCCTTCTCCGAATTTGGATTACAATTCTCTTATGCAGAGGGTAATGGCATTCAGATCGCCAGGATGGTATGTTTCATCCTCAATTTATTCGGGCTATTCCAGCTATGGATCCAGCTCTATGCACCGCTGCTCTGATTCCTCCTTCGCATCTGTATTCGACAAGCTGGAGGATTCTCTTGAGGGGCTGGAACTGAATCGGTTCACAAGTTCACAATTTGGGATCTCTGTGTTGCCGTCTAAATGACGATTTTACTTTGGTTGAAAAATGCGTTCATGGTGCGATGTCAAGTATAGGCCAGCCTGCTTGATTAATCCTGCTATCTCGCATACACTCGTTGACCTGGACTATTTGTATGTAAGATCATGGAGCACACACAGTAGTCCTCATTATGCCATACTTTTGCTTCTTGCGCCTACGACGGGTTTTTCATACCGTGCTACTCCGGCTCTTTCCACATTTTAATACGTCATAGAGTACGCAATCATCTTAATCCTCGAAGTTCCACCTTCGACCGTCTATTGAAGTGATTGGTATATTAACTCGAGCTGACATGTATAGGAACCAGATAATTGGGGCCTTGATTCCATAAGGTAGCACGTAAGATGTCACATGGCTTCAAATTGTCCCCAGAAGAGCGTCTACTGTTAAAAAAGGGAAGGGTATATGAAACAGCAAATCTCCAAAAGATTCTCGGCCCAACTCCGAATCCCTTGATCAAGTGGACAATCTCTAAGCTAAAGTTTGTATGATCCTCTCTGTCAATATTGCAACTAGGAATAATCATAATTTTAGGCAATGACAACCTTTACGTGTGCAGAACATGGTAACGATTTCAGAGACCGGCGTGCTGTGATTGAGCACATCCGAGGTTCCCATGTTAGCTTCATCAGGAGGCCTGGCCGCCCAGGAGAGTCTGACACCCATGGGCATATGTGGTATTGCTTTGATTGTGAATCTCGGAACTTCAGCGATCACCGTAGTTACGATTCCGACAACGCAATGTGGGGACACCTTGCACAGGCACACAATTATGTTTTTGATAGCATCATGTGGTGAAATATCTCAGCCCACTATTTACCAGCGTGAGGCACGATCTTACCACGATACTTTGGGGGTATAGAAATATCAAGGGTATTCGGTCTATCGACTGGCATTTTTGTTTGAGCATCTGCATTATAATTACAAATCTGCTCCCAGTCTAGTAGATAGTGGTTTAACATCACCCTCTCCACCTAGACGTAGGGTCCGTGCATTTTCCTAATACTCTCGCACCCCCAAGGTCTCGGCCCGAAATTAGTTCAGCCTCGTTGCAAAGACACCTCCGCTCCATTCCGAGCCCTCGGGCGAGACCGGAGAAGTTGAACTTACTATCCTCGTTCTCTCCTGTGGTTCACTGGTAGACGTGGGGGTAGCGGGGTATTAGAGAATGCACGAAGTGGAGATAAATAAGCCAATAACGTCAAATAAACACCATCCTTCCTTTTCTGCTAAGTGGTATTTAATTTAATTAATTAATTAAACAATATGATGTCCTCGAACAAGTAAAACACTCACCCAGTAACTTTATTCACGTTTGACATGTGTATAAAGGGCAAGGACCGTGAGAACTAACACTGCCGTCAAGAACTGTTAACTTCCTATTTACTCAACGTTTATCGGGTTCGTCGTGTGCAATGGTCAACACACGTCTAGGATCAACCAATCCACCCGATTTCCACAATAACATTTCTTAAAGGGCATCCGTTTCCTCACTCTACTATGACGAGAGCTCAAACACGTTGAATTGGCCCCTAACGCCATCGAAAATGAGCGGCTTCTCAATTCTTCAACGCCGCCGCACTTAAATGCGTTTGCCTGTCTCGTTCTGATCTAAACCCAGCTAGCTGTTTTTTGATTAATCTACGATATGCTGAGTTAGCGAGCTATATTTAATCACCGCTCCTAGGATCATGCTTACGGCCTCTGGGAGCTTAATGTTCTCTAGGAACTATACCTGTCACTCCTGAGAGCGAGACAGACCGTTCCTGGGCTCTCTATCTTGGATCCTGGAGCACACCCGTCCGTCCACAGGGCCCTATAGTTCTCTGGGAACTGTGGTTACGCTTCCGAATGCACATGGGTCGTGCGGGGAACTCTACAGGGGCAAGATGATCCAGGAACCATTACAGGATGACTTCCGTAGATTACTGAAAAGTGGGCAGGGCTAAAGCAGAGCGACTTCCTCTAGCCTCGTTATATGGAAGGTTACTCGGACTACAGCTTTGGGGCGCATCTGATAATATTGGCCATGGGCTATTCGGAAATTAGTTTAACCGAGAGCTGGCGTGACTCTGAAAAGCATTCAGAGTGCCACTAGTCCAAATCAGGCTGCTTGGGCAAGATGATGTTATTCAGGATAATAATGTAAAGGACAATTTGTCAAGCTTTAGGCAACCCAGTAACTAGCGGCCAGGTTTGAAATACTGGTTTCTTTATACTAACTCAAGAATGTTTCTATACTTACCCAATTCTAAAAATAAAACAAGTAAGAGGTCTTAAAACCTATCAGGAGGTCTTAAGGTCTAGTTTCGTTTCTTTTCCATTATTTCTTTCACAACAATACAGTAGCTTTTGATCCAAATGATATCTTTTATCTTTTACATAGATCAGCTTATCGGGAGAGCAGAAATCTGAGGCATTTACGCAGGGCCATTGAAAATGAGGCGTACAGTGCGGCTGCTTTAACCTGAGGGGTGTTCCAACAAGTTTCGATTGATGGTGAAAAAAAGCCATTTTTGGTCTGAAGAATCATTCTTACTTTTCTTTTTCTGCTGGGAAGCTTGACGATCACGCAAGCCCTTGCCTATAAATACCTCAACCCGATGTCGGGTCTTCTGGCAATGCCTAAACAAATTACCATTGCCGTTCCTATCAATGAAGGCAGTTTTTGTATCGCCCACAGAGCCTATTATTGGTCAAGGATTCAACTTTAAGCACTGATCCCAGACCACTTTAGCCTCTAGGAATAAGAACATAATTCCACACACGTAACACATAAATCAGCACTTCGAGAATAGTGGCAGGGATTCCGCGGCGTTACTATATAGAAACGGACTCGGAAAGGCTCTGATTAGAGTAAAGCTTTGGGCTAGTATGTATACCTGAATGTGACCTAAGTCATTTTTCGGAAGAAAGTATTTTCCGAATCCCGGGATCTGCTAGCAGAACGCTGATCGCACTAGATCGTCAGCCGGGCTCTGACGCATTTGCGTTAAGGTATGACTTACCCTTTACAACAAATCGATGGCCGACCACAGCTCTCCAAATTACAAAGATCTTTACCTTAGGTCGGAAGAAGGACGGAAGCAGGAAGCAGAAGGGAGACGGCAGGAAGCAGAAGGGAGACGGCAGGAAGCAGAAGGGAGACGGCAGGAAGCAGAAAGGAGGCGATAAGCAGAAGAACGCAACCAACAGACCTCTTTCACAGAGCTCTTACAGAACTGCCATGACCTTCTCTCCCGCCATTTGCAAGTCGAGACACCATCTCGCTCAACTACTAGAAAAATACCCCTTCCCACTAGAAAATACTGCCCAACTCGATTGGAACATTAGGCCGACTGCCCAGAGCAGCTACTAAAGGTCTATAGGTCTATCTACCAATATCTACAGTCGGAGCTAGGGTAGGCGCCACGCTTATTCTCGTCTCTACCGGAGCTAGAAGGACTTAGCCGTCGATTTGCCCGCAAGCCCCTCAGTAGTAAGCAAGATCTCGAAGCCTATAAGCGATTTAGGGTAGAAGAACACGTCTATAATATAATAGCCGAGTTATACAAATTTCCAGCGGTATATAACGAGTTCGGCCTCGGTAATAGAATCTAGTTTAACAATCACGCAAATTCTTTAAGCAGGAACGAAACGTTTAAAGCGGATACAAACTAGCTATCAAGCACACAACACCTACGACCAGACTAGTTCTATATTCATCGTATCGACGGCAACACGACCACCGTACTAACGACCGTCGAGTATAAGCCGCCTTATAAGCTGCCTATCGTAACTCTTCGAATAGGACTACAACTAATAGATCTATAGAAAAAAATGGTCAGATCAAATAAGATACCCATCGAATAGGATACGAAGGTAAGGTACAATACAGAGCGGCTTATATACTCTACTATCGTCTAAGAATACCACGTAATAATCCAAGAAGGACTCGAATATTCCTACCTAACAAATAGAATTATTCGTATACTACTTCGTATTCTATAAGACGAACCCACCACGCTATATTACTTTTTTTATAATCCCTACAACGAAGTAGACCTAATATACGATATAACTCATCAGCTATCGAAGACCTCTATTATAAGGGTATTATACCTTTATTTAATAGCCTTCCGTTCACCCATACGTAGGCAAGAGTAGAGAAATCGCTTATATCCCGATCTTTATACGTAAGAAACAAGCTTTAAACATACTCGTTCGCAGATCCCGAGAAATAAATTACAGTAGATTCCTCACTCCGATAGCACTAACCCTAAGTTCCCGAGCCTAGGGTCTAGTTCATCCTATAAATTACCGTCATTATCTCCGCTACCGTCTCCTTCAGAGGGCCGTCGAGTACCTATACGCTCTTAAACAAGCTATATACCTTCGGAGATCCGACCGCGCTCGCAGTCACCTAACTCATCCGGGTCCGATACAAATCAAATATCTAGCTATAAGCGGAGGATCAGTTAAGTCACGCCTTTACCGTCCGCTCGACGATCAGATCGCTAGTAAGAGTTAGTATATAGTCACGAAGATCATTCCCGACGCTACGCTATACAATTTTACATATAGCAATATTTACTCAGCCTATAGACTAGGAAATCCCTAGATAAGCTATATCTAAACATAGACTATTACCGCCGGGGCTAAGACGACCCGACTTAGCATCCTATCTCGGCTAAAGATTTGATACTTTCACTTAAGGGCCAATTAGACGAAAATATCGATCGTTATATACCTCTTAGCGGTTATAGCTCCTATAGAGCCCTATTCAAATTAACTTACACGAAATATAATTACATAGTTATCGGTAAAGGCACCACTTCGGGGTTATAGAAAGAAGTTTCACGCGAAGCGTAGGTATATCAGATCCTATATAAAGCTTAAGGATCTACTATTCCTATCTTTTTAGGAACGATTAACTTAGCAAAAATCTACTTTTTACATAGTGCTGGATAGATCCGCCATATACTCGTAATAGGCTAGGGCGGTAA